GGGAATTCATTTTCCTTAATTTTGAAGAAAATGAGTTGATTTAGAAAACATTTTCCAGAACTTTTGTCCCAACCAAACATGAGAAAATTGGAAAACATTTTCCAAAAAATATTTTCCTTCGTACCAAACACACTCTAAGTATTATCTTTCACTGAGATTATCCCCCTTCTAAACAACTTGCTTGGGGATTCCTTATTAATGCTGTAGTGGAGGTTCCTTGTTCACAATTTTTTAAACTAATATTCTTAGAGAACTCACTAACAAACTAGTGTGTTCTTTGGTTTATGATCCTCTTTCAAATGATTGGTAAATGGTAATCATGGAGATCTTTCTTTTATCATTAATGGTGTCAGGATTAGCTTGCACGTAGAGAAGTTAGGTTTTAATATATAGGTTCAGCAGAAGCAGAATTCAGTAGTTTTGATCCAAATCATATGTGTGTGAGTTACGAAAACAACTAAATACGCATAAATATTTCGATCTCACATAACTTATAAAGTTTAAAATCATGAATCCACCTCTAGCGCAACTTGATTATTCCAGTGCACACCTATTTATGTCATACTGCACTTGAAATTCCTTTGATATACTGTGTAAGATACTCAAGTTTTCAACCACAAATATGCCCTTTTGAGATTTTTAAATAAAAAGAATATCTTGTTTGAAACCTTACAATTGGACCCTTTTTTTTCTTCCAATTATCAACTTTGGTGACTTATCATAAATCAAAAGAGGTACACCTTTTTAATTGTCCAGTCATGTTCCAGTAAAAGCTTGAGAAGTACACCAAAGGATGAATAGAATCTTTTTTTATCAAAAGGAAAACTAATTAGCTTTTCTCCTGGCAATGTCTCCCTCAATGCAAAAAGTTCATCCTTAACGAGAATTAAGTTGCTCAGACTCTTCACTTTCGATATCGCACCTATGTCAACATGATTTGGTCAACCTATTTTGAAAACTTTGACCAAAATTGACTAAGAAAATCGGGACAAATACCTATGATTTTTGTAATCAAAATAAAGTGAAATTGAAGACAAAGTAGTAACCTTACATAAATTTCTATGTGAGCATCTTTCCCTTTGGGATGCTATCAATATTTTCTCCATGAAATACCTTTTAAGTTTACAACATAATCTCTTATAATTCAGACCTACAACTCTATTTTTAGATAATTGAATATTTTTAGTTGAATCCCACCATGTATTCGTACTTGGATCCATACTCCCAAATCTAAAAGTTAGATCATGAAGGAATAAACTCTAGATCCATACAACCCGTATTAGACACCCACAATCGAGTCTGAACAATTTAGACACTTGATATATTGTTGTTGCAACATCGGGTGTCAAAATGGCTAAGTTGAAATCATGGTTCTAATCTTATCTATGAGTATTGTATATTGTATATTGTATTTGTATATTCTTCATCCTTATTAATTAGTTTTTTAAGACAGCGTAATTGGATGGAATGCTCCAAAATCAGGGACCTATAAATCTTCAACGAGAACTACAACTAGGGATGTCAAATGGACGGATTGGGTTGAAATTGAGAATATTAAAATAGGTTGAATAAAAGTCGGATTGGGTCTTGATTTGCCCAAGTTTACTTTGGGCTCAAATGAGTTGAGCTCAAATGAGCTAAAAAAACGCATTGCATCAATTTGACCCGATTAATCTCAATAATTTAACATATTGATATTTAACTTTTATTTTTACAATTTGAATTTTAGCTCAAGATTTTTTTTAAAAAAAAATTAACAAATGGATAGATAAACACTAAAAGATGTTAAATAGATAATAATTATATCTTAAATATAGGAAGATATCTTAATAAAAGGTTTTAAAACGGGTTGAAATTGGAGAGTGAATTGAGCTCAATCAAGAATTCTCTTCAAATACGTTATGCTTGAATGGGTTGATATTGAACTCAATTCAAATTATCTTGAGTCCAACCCTTAAAATTTTGAGCGGGTTACCTATGTGCTCATTTTTGACACCCCTAACTACAACATATAAAACCCTCTTTCTTCCCTTTGCCTCTCCCCATTTTTTAATGATCGAGAAATCCATCCAGAACTAACTTTAAGTGAACCACAACAAATATGCATATACAATTTCCCTCTCTGCCCTCTCGCGTTCACTTCTCTCCTCCCTCTCCCAATCTCGCCTATCGTATATACAGATGCATATGTATAATATACAATTAGTTAACCGATATACATATATAATTTATCTCTCTCCCACTCTTGGCACTCTCTCGCTCGTCTATCTCCTTCCTCTCTCAATCTTTCTCATCTCTCTCCGACACCTCCCAATCTCGCTTGCCATATATGCAAATACATATGGATAATATACAATTATCTAAACGATACACATATAAAATTCACGTCTCTCCCACTCTTTACCCTCTCTCGTTCACTTCTCTCCTCTCTATGGCATGTAACTACGAATTGTAATTATCAAACTATAGCTACGGAGAGTAATTAGACTATTTTTGAGCGACTATACGTGAAAGTTCCTCTTCTTTATTCATTTTGAAATATCCTGATAAAATATACGACATCTTCAAAGGGTTCGTATCACAATAAATCAAGAACAAGTTGAAAAAAGAAGAGCATAAATAATATAATAACAAAAGAAAAAAGACATCACAAATACACCTTCAAACCTTGACTTCCTTTGAAAAAATTTAGCACAACATTCTCCTTCATTCTTGTCACACGAAAATCCAAACTACATTCATATTGAAAAATCCTAATAAAATACACGAAGTTTTCAAAGGATTAAAACCACAATAAATCAATAGGAATTACAATGATTAATAGGAAAAAATAATAGAAGAAAGGCATTTATGGTAATAAGGAGAAGAGATAAATAAAATATTTTTATTTTTAGAAAATAGTTGAAATCATTATATATATTATTAAGGAGAGATTTATTTTTAGAAAACTACAAAAATAAAAAGAAGAAAGAGGAATATAAGGAAAAGAAATATTTTAAAATATATTTTTATACTAAGGCAAAACGGTAATTTTTTTAAAAAATTATTTTGGGAAGGTATAACTGATCATTAATTAACAATTACTAATTTATAATCACACAAAATAGAGAAAGGGCCTAAATTCTAGGAAAATGGATTTAAATACTTCCACGACATTTGACGTGTACTTTATTTAGTCTCCTATTTTATATAAATTTGAGTGTCTACTTATGCACATTCAAAATTAAATGATCGTAGTTAGCGACTGACGCCAAGTTAAGGTTTGTATGTATTATGCCTTATAAATACACTATGTAACTTTGGGGGGAAACCAAAATCTAGACATTACTTACAACTCACCTTCACAATATTCACAATCAAATTACAACATTAAAGAAGGAAAACAAAAATGAGGGTAAATTTTGAGGAGTAGAACCTTTAAGAAGCTGCTAAAAAGGCTTTAGTTGTGGATTTAGAATACTACAAATTATAATTATAAGCCTTAAGTTTAGGAAAACAGTTATGGGCTGCAATTACAAATTTACAAGGTGTCTTTCTGTTTTTTAAACTTTATAATTAATTAAAATTCATTAACGTGTTAAAATAGGAAAAAAACTCAGTTTTGTCATGCCTTATTCCTAATCCTAGTAGCAATAGACTAACACGTTTATTTTTTCTCTGTTATAAATAAAGCCTCAAACCCTCTACTCGTCCCTCACAAAATCAGTCTTCATACCTTTTCACTAGAAAATCAGTCCTCATTCCATTATGTCTGTGATGATAAACACAAGTATCATCACAAGTTTGGGGGTATGGTGATCGATTTGTTCACTGATCAGTGTCCGTTAACTGAAGTTATGTAAGATAAAGTATTATCATAATTGTCTCTTTCACACTGTTTGGAAGGATTTCACAATGCAAACCGGAGATACAACCGGAACAGGAACTGGAGGGGATTCGATATACAAATTTTTATACGGTGATCGTTTTTTCAGCGAAGAGATTCATTCTGACTTGAAGCATTCAAAGAGAGGGACTGTGGCAATGGCTAGTGCTAGTTCTAGTGGGAAGAATCTAAATGCTTCTCAGTTCTATATCACGTTACGTGATGACCTTGATTCTCTTAATGGAGAGCATATTTGACACGTTGAATAGGATAAAGGAAGGTTAGGTGGATGAAAAGACCGGCAAGCCTTATCAAAATATCCGAATCAAACATACTTACATATTGTATGATCCTTTCGATGATCCTTCCCAATTAGTCGACTTGATTCCAGATGCTTCACCGGAAAGAAAGCCTAAAGATGAGATTGATGATGATGTTAGACTAGAGGATGATTGGATGCCAGAGGATGAGCAATTAGGTGTTCGTGAAGATAAAGAAGCACATTCCCGAGCAGTAGTATTTGAAAGTGTAGGGGACATTCCTTATGCTGAGATGAAACCCCCTGATAATGTGCTCTTTGTTTGTAAATTAAATCCAACAACTGAAGAGGAAGCACTGTATATAATCTTCTCAAGCTTTGGAACCATGACATCTGCTGAAGTAATCAGAGATCACAAGACTGGGGTTAGTCACTGTTATGGTTTCATCGAGTTTGAGGATAAGGAGTCCTGTGAGCAAGCCTATATTAAGCTGGATAATACTGTCATTGATGATCGAAGGATACGAGTTGATTTCAGTCAGAGTGTAGCAAAGTTATGGTCCCAATATCGACCTAGAAACCAAAAAAGCAGTGGTGTTGATGCCATCAAACAGCCGAGGAGCTACGTACTTAAAGAAGACAACAAGCAGTATCGAGGAGATGGCAACTCAAAGTACTCGAAATTTCTGAGAACAAGAAAGCACAAAGGGAGAAAATACCGGCAAATAACAAAGCCACGTTAAGGTTGGTCAAATAGATTCAATTATGAGCATATAACAATGTGTAATCAGTTGAAATTAGAGAATGAAGATTCTATCCCTTTTTTATTTAGAACAGTTATGCTCGTTAAAAAATTCTATCCCTCTTTATTTAGATTCATAATCTTGCACTTTAACTCCCCCTCATCCGAGACATAGCTGCTTTACCTTGACATGATTTGTGATAAAAAAAATTAGAAAAAAAGAAATGCGCATAAGAAGAGACTAGAGTTAGCAGTCAAGTGAACTGTTTAATGGCTGGACATGGAAGCTATTTTGGCTAAACATTTTAAGAACATAAATTGAACACTTGGGGGATCATTAGGGCCACCAGAGTCAGGAGGGTATTTTGATCCTTACTCCATAGTTGAAGGCACGAACGTAATCTTAACCCAAAAGTACTATAAAAAAATGCTACATTCCTGCTAAACATGTCGAGATATTTAGTTTTGCTAATCCAGTTTCAACAAAAAACAACAGAGAAAGCATAGAAAGATGCCTAACATAAAACCCACATCTTTAAATACTGAAAGAAGTAGCTTCTACTTTTATTGCAGGGGTATTCATGTAGTCCAAAGCAAAATAGATCCCGAACTGATTTTTTACCTAATCACCAAAATATTGGCCAATTAAGAGAAAGAGAGAGAGAGTGAGAGCTCTCATCGCTAATTCACAGGGCATTCAGCTACTCCTCACCTATTCTATTGTCACTTGATAAAGCTATAGTCTGTGATTTAGAGATGGATTAAAGCAAGGTACACTTCGTGGAGTTGATTATCAGTTTCTAGATACTGCAATCTTCCTTTATTTGTAACAGAAAGTAACTAGATTACCAACTTAGATTTGATTCATCGCACTGAACTTCAAGTTGTCAACAGGAAATTAAGGTCCAACAGTATCTTAAGAATATGCATCCCATAAATAAGGAACGTAATCAAGAAATGAAACGTGAGCTCGTGCAATTGCTGGCACAGGGAAGGTTATGCACTAAATCACATCAACAAACTGCTCCCCACATTCATTCCGGAAATGTTCTTATGCAGCATACACAGATAATATATGGAACACACTATGACCCTCCCTTTTTATTTGACAAATATTATAGCTTTCTTGCCCAAAAGAAAAACGAATGAACGGAAGTCTGGTGGTCAAACAAAGAATTGAAGTACTAATAAATGAAAAGAACTCTATATATAACTATGTAAGAACACAGCTAATTCATAAATATCATAGTAATAAACAGACATGTCAAGATCAAAAACTTGTTCCTGGGGTGGTCAGAGGCTCAGAGCTGGTGGTTAAACAAAGATTTGAAGTAATAATAAATGAAAGAAACGTTATCGCTTATATTGGAGAAACGATACGTGACAATGTAAAAACACAGCTAATTCATAGTAATAACCACGGATATACCGAGAGCAAAGTTTTGCCCCCGGAGTAATGTATCCATTTTTCCATTATGAACTACACACTTTAACTCCACCCTTCTCCTATACTGTTGCCTAGTGCTAACAGAACGACTGAAAGCAAGAGCAGCTTCTCACGGTTATTGCTTTTCGATCCCAGCTAAAATCCAAATTCATTTCACTAAATACAAGGATACTGAGAAGGAACCAAATCGAACATCCAAACTAAAACTCTAACCCCTCAATTTCCACAATTTAAATACAGCATCTCACTTCATCAACAAACAATAATAGCGCGCGCACGCACACACAGCAACAGTTTAGCAGAAGCAATTGCAATTTGCAGAACACAAATTAGGGATTTTGACAAACATTTTCTCACCTGAGCTTTATCAGTGAGCTGAACAACAAGTCGATCAACAGGCAACGCTGATTCATAAGAATAACCATAATTGATATACTCCGAAAACATATACCTAGAAAGCACACGGCCGACCGGCGGTGATTCCAGCTATTGCGACACCGATAAAGATGATCAACTTTGAAAATCTTCTTCTGGTGAGAAGAAAGTTCGGAATCAGCCTTGCTGCTGAACCTTGTTTCTACCTGAAATAGCCTTCCCGCCGGCGACCATGTCTTCACGTCGGCGTCCTACTGATTTCTGCACATCTTCACCTCGATTTAATCACACTCGTCGCACTGAAAATGCTTTCTATGTGTGATTCGAATTTTCGTTTCTATTTCTTAATAATAATCCTATTTTTAAAAAATCATTTTTTATTTCATTGCTTTTAATGTCTAAAGAGAGACACATATTTTATCAAGCGTTTACTCCCATTTATCAAAATAAATATATATACCTCAACTGATATTAGTGTTGCAGTATAACAATCTATTATTTATTATTGTGACTCATAACAGAAAAGTTAGACAAATATGATATATATACATAAAAAAAAAACTCAATTCATATGAGCATTGTAATATAATAATCGTATTACTTATTATTGTGACTCATAAGAGGAAAGTGAGTCGAATATAATTTAGATATGTGCATGGGAGGTGTGCCAATGCTTAAATGTGGAGACACGAGAGCTTGACTGTAGAGTGTGTGTGGTGTGGTACATATAGGCCGAAAAACTATTGGAAAAAGGCAATTTATATTGCTAAGGACATCACTTTAGATGAGAAAGACTGAGAGTTACGTATTAGAGTAAAAAGTTAATAGGTTTAGAGGATGTCTTGCTTGGCTACATTTTGATTAATTATGTTTCACAACTATAGTTCCATTTACTATAAGCCAATATACAAATAGAGAGTTTATATAAATTTTGTTCGTATATCTCACTTGTCAATATGCAAACAACGTAATTTATTATGAATTTTTCATAACTTATACAAATAAAAATGTATCAATAAATTGTATATAAAAAGCTAGAATAAACATATACAAATTTAATTTTATACAATTAGGAACCATATTACACAAATTCATACCAAAATTTAAGAAACTATAATCATGAATCATAAATGTCCGAAATTGTGGCTAAATTAAATAATATACTATAAATATTTATCATTTCATATAATTTTTCCTTTGCTAACTGCTATGCTTTCTTCTTTTATTACTTGAATTTGATGCACTTGACTAAGATTCTTTCGTAAACAATCTCTCCTTATAAGGTAATTCTACCATTCTCAGACGCCGTCTAGATTCAAATAATTAATAGCTTGCTTGATAAGATAACAATATATTTTCAAAGTGAATATTTTCAACTAGCGTTAAATTAATAATTGAATAGTTCAAATTATATAGACAATGATGATCTAAATTCTTCAACGTTTCAAACAAAGTAATGTTTTAGGGAGAAAAGAAACAATTTGCTTCTAGTTCCTAAGAAGATTGTGTTTTAAATCAAATGAAGGGCATTTACAAGCCAAGAACATGAAGCATTATTGCATTTTGTGCATGCATGCGATTCTCAGCTTGAGGGAACACAATGGAGTTTGGTGCTTCGATCACACCGTCAGTAACTTCCACTCCTCTTTCTGCAGGCAAACAATGCATAAAGTATGCTTTTTTTCCAGCTAGCTTCATAAGTTGTTCATCCACCTGTATAGAAATAATTTCAAACATGTTTCAGTACATCAACAATACATGCATCTAAAAATACAGTCAGAGTACGAGTTTACTTGCTAAGTTAGGGCACAATTGGTTTAAGATGTTCATTTCTCATGCTCCTACCTGGAATCCTTGAAATACTTGGCGGCGATGTGCGGCTTCTTCCTTTTGTCCCATACTGGCCCAGACATCTGCATAGACAACATCAGCTTCTCTAACAGCTTCTTTTGGATCATTAGTTATCTCGATTTTGCTGACTCCAGCTTGTTGTGCTTTCTCAACAGTTTTCTGATCAGGTTCAAAACCTTTGGGACAGGCACAAACAAAGTGGAATGGAATTACCGCAGCCAGAAGCAACCACGAATGCACTATGTTATTTCCATCTCCAACATAGACAACCTAAACTTGCAACCACAATTAGATCATTAAAATCTATTTACCAATACAACCAAACATGGTATAGATTATCTGAAAGAAATATGAGATGTTTGAGGTGTTTTAACTTCCACATTGTGCAACTTGTAAGAAGAACAATGTTGATCATATAGAACACTTTTTGGATTTTTTATGCTCATCTTTTTCTGTTTAGAAGTGAAGGTTAACATGTACAGGAGCTTAATGCCTTTTGATCGAGATCTACTCTTTTTATATTTTCTAGGTGAAGATAAATAAGGGTAATTATTTCATCAGGAAAACTAAAAAAGAGCTAACCTTAGTTCCTTCCAGCTGGCCGACATGTTCAATCATTGTAAGGGCATCAGCCATTATTTGACAAGGATGGTTATAGTCTGTCAGGCCATTGATCACAGGAACAATTGCATATTTAGCTAGATCAAGAATGTCCTGCAAAAGAAAAGAAATACAATGGATACCAACATTTGATTTGCAATGGGAATGAAAGAAAAGGGGAAAATGTTCTTAAACACAGTGGACAAATAATTCAGGCCACATTTCTATTTAAGCAACGTCCAAAGAAAATAGACATGAATGGCTACACTCAATTAACTTGCTGGGAGAGGTACAACAACATCATCGAACTCCCATCATTTGTAAAATATAGTAAATTAGAAATAAAGCTAGGGCCAAATTTGAGCAATCATTGATGGTTAACATCATTGTAAACCTAGAGAAAAAGGAACAACAAAAAGAAAAACAGTTTGATTTCCATGGAGTCAAATGTCAACAAAGTTTAATCATTACAAAGTTTGTAGGATCACCAAATATAAATGAGCCTTCTATCACGAAATTAGAGTTCTAACTATTGTTCCGTGCGGCACTTGACAACTTATTTACGAATCTTTCAGATCAAGTAAGCCTTTAACACTAAGATCGCTAAGAGAATGAAAGGAAGACTTAGAAAAAACAAGAGAGCTTTCTCGAAGGTTTTTGAATTAACTTTGGAAGATTGCTTACAACTTGTTGGATGATTTACAAATGAGAAACTCTCTATATATACTACTTCCTAGGGGCCTAAGTATAAATACTAATTACTTTACAAGTCCCTCCAATAATTACACTTCAGTCCTATTCTAGAATTCTCTACACTTCTCGGGAATTCTAAGACTTTCTTGGAAACTATCTAAGTTATTCTAGAGAATTGTAAGGAATTCTATAGCCTTCTTGAATGATCTAGAAGATTCTAGAGTTTTCCGCAAACTCTCCACAACTCTATCTCTTCTACCCCTATCTGAGTGCAAAATTTGATTGTGAAGTAGCGGGACGTGACACTTCTCTTTGCTCCACCCCCAACCTCCTCTTCACTGCCCCCAGGAAAAAAGAACAGATTTGTCTCAACTATTATATGGAGTTGCCAAAAGCGGCTTTGTGGGATTTCACTGGGTGTTGTTGCCAACAGCAGCTTTGATCAAAGATAGAAAAAAGTGGACTGGACAACTATAAGACTGCGACATATAAGAATAGTATGTCATGTTTGTTATAAGCCTTGATTCTTTCCAAGCACCAGGAAAAAGTCACAACAGAAAACTCACCAGCATACCTGATGAGCAAAAACTCTAGCCATAATGATATCATTATAGCGAGAAAGAACACGAGCAACATCACGAGTTTCTTCCCGCTTACCCATCTGTATATCATTTGGTCCCAAATAGATTGCATGTCCTCCAAGCAAGTAAAAACCTGTCTCAAAAGAAACACGTGTCCTCATGGAAGGCTTAGCAAAAATCATCGCCATAGTTTTACCCTTGAATGGGAGATATGTCCTCTCTCCTGATTTCAGTAACTCTTTCACCTCTCTGGCTCGATCCAAGATGTTCAAAATAGTGGCTTTATCGAAATCATTAATGTGTAGAAAGTCCTTTTGATTGGCAGTTCCTGGAATAGAAAATTTAAAAGACATGTTAGAAATATCCAGCCTCAACAGACTCTGATAAGAAGTTGTACTTAACAACACACATTCGAACATGTTCAGAATTATTTCTTTCTCTTTTGTTGGAAAATAAAAATTTCCAAAAAACTCGATGTAATCAGACTCTGAAAATCATTTCATCAACAAAGATATCATCAAGGAATCGATTTACTATCTGCCAAAACACACTCAACTACAAATGAAGCAGAAAGCAAACAAGCTCGATTATCCAATGTGGATGATAAAAAATGGACATCCTAGACCAGGATATGAGTATAAGCAACAATATAGCTCATTTAGACAAAGATACAAGAGAAAAGAATCTGAGTTTCGGATAAATAAATTAAGCAAGGAAGTTACAAATTCTGCTTGACTTTCTTTTTTATTAAGTACTTTTTCTTTGTCACAGTATAGGCATTCTCACAGTCACTCAAAGCATTTTTCTTTAGATGGATAACTCATCAAGTACTAGGCTTCAACAAGGATTATACAAACTAGACTCTAAGCCTGGTTGAATGAGCTTACAACTAATAGCCAATAGCTAAAAATTTAGTATTTCTAGCTTATGCCTTTCGACTTATTTTTGTTATTTTGATTTAAAAATAAGTGTATAAAAGCATTTTTTTTCCATTCTGCATAATCATTATAAAACTGCATACTAAAAGCTATTTTGGCTTAAGAGCACCTAAAACAAGTGTACAAAAATCTGGCTAAAATTGAAACAGGATTTTCTATGACTAGGGGTGGACATAAATACCGAAAAATCAAACCGAATCGAATTATTTCAATTCTTCGGTTCGAAATTGATTCTTTATTTTTGGAATTTTGGTTCAGATTCGGTGCAATGGTCCCGAAACTACGGTGTACCGAAGAACCAAAGTTTTATTAAATAAATTTAAAAATATTTAATTATATTGCTTAATTAATAATACTTATACATTTTTTACTCAATATATTTACATGACCCATTTAAACTTCTTACTTTAGCTAGCCCTTTACAACAAAAAATTGTTTTACTGATATAAAATTATAATGACAATTAAGTTTGGAACTACTGTTGTAGCAAATACTTGTTAGCTTGTACGCTTTTGTTCATTGTAGCAACTAGCAATCGCATTTTAGCTTCACTTCATCATATTTTCACTTTATTTTTATTCACACCGAAAAATCAATTTAAAATCACAAAACTAAACAGAACCGAAATAGAAAAAATCAAACCGATATTAGTTTAGTTTGGTTGGTATAAATATGATGCACACTTTTCTAAAATTGAATACCGAAGAATCGAACCGCTAACAACACATTTCAAGCCTAATCAAACCTTGCATTACAAAATCAATCAATTCGA